TGTGTTGCAGGGAAGGTATTGGTCATAGTAGCAGTGGCGAGATGGCCGCAGGTTACATTCACTACACTTTCAAATGAACTCTTCCAGAAAAATGATAAAAGACAAACCCTATCATTTGTGAACAAATACTTTGCACAAAACATTCTCTCCATATCTGACCTCCCAGTTCTCATTCTCAAAAGAAACCTGCACAACACCTTCAGAAGACAAAACTGGGAGCTTAAATTCATAACTGCTAGACACCAAAAATTATTGACTCAATAAAGGCAATGGTTTTATTTCTCATTACAACAGTCTGTAACCCACTAACTCTCTTTGGTCCTACAGCTGCAGAGGGGTTAACTGCCCACTTCATTTTGAATTGTTTCTTGCAACAATCTGTTCCACCTTGTATTTAGCGGTGACACTCTTCCTTTCCAAGACCTGAAGAAGAGCTCTGTGGATCTTGAATGTTTTTCTCTCTCACCAACAAAAGTTGGTCCAATAAAAGATATTACCTCACCCACCTTGTCTCTGTCTCAGATATAGTAATTTTAGAATTTCAGACAGAAGTGTGATTTTTTTTTAAAGTTAAACACATCTCTTTGAATTGTGTTTTCAAACTCATGTTGTCTTCCACAGTCAGAACAAAGGAAAATGGCTGCCTTTTAGTCATACAGGATAACATCAAGAAAGACTTCTGCAATGAAAATCAAAATGAGGTCTGCTTATGCTTTGAAAATTAAGTGGTGAGCAGGTAGAAAAAATTACTGATCCTATGCTTTGGAGGTACCTAAAGTTTGACAAACCAGTTTGGTTCTATCTCTAAATTAAAGTTTAATGAGCTATATGTGAAACCATATTCTCCTACGTTATCTATCTTTTAAATTGAGGAGAAAGCATTCCTGTTTTATGATTAGTGAGAGACAGGGATTAGTAATTTTCCTTCACAAAAAATCCTCTAATTGAGCACAGATTAGATTGTTCTAATTAATTTCCTTACAACAAATGTTTTTGCAAGATTAAACGCTTTCTAAGAAAAGAAGCTTTGCAGATTATTATAAAGAGATCCAGCACCAAGCTATTAAATTGCATTGTTTATATTTGTTCTTCTGCTGCAGTTTTTCTCTCTCTAATATAATTCAAAAAGAAATCAGAGAAAAGCATTTACAATACAGATTATCACAATTTTCTAGGCTTTTGTTAAAGGATAAATTTTATACTATTTTCCATTACTTTGAGCTGCCTTGTTGAATAATACATTTTGTTGGGATTTAAATAGAAACAACTATATTAAAATAATAGTAAAGTTTCTCAAGCAAAACTACAAAAGAAAGGAAGTTTTGGGTTTCAGCCTAGTGTCTACATTGGCGTTGTATCATGCATGAGCTTCTGTTGGATTGCTCTACAACTCTTGGAAATATATTTTAATCTCTGAATGATAATTTAACAAAGCGCCAGCCAGTGATGAAACACAAAGTTGCTGAGTGCATATTTAAGTTTGAATTATTTTTCTTTGTGTGTATGTGTGGTTTTAATTGTGAACAGTAATATTACTTCAGTGCAGTATTTTGTGCTAACTGGGCTGAAATTTTGTCAGAGACTTCACCACATGGAGCTCACTAAGATTGCTCCAACGCAAGTCTGAGCAGATCTTTCCCTGCAGTTGCTCCTCCTGGCTGTTGATGACTGCCATGGTGCTGGCACTAGAATAAAAAGCAGGGAGATTGTGGGTGCCCAGGCAATGTGGAGAAGAAAAGGGAAGCAGCCTGACTTTAATGCAGAGGGGTGAGGAGCAGGGAGAGGAACGGGGGCACAAGCATTGGCACAGGTGTGATAGGATGGACAGAGGCAGGCTGAGGGAATGCAGTCTTGGGTGGGGGCTTGGAGAAGGAAAAGCAGAGACAGACTGGGGAGTACAGGAGAGAGTGTTGGGTGACTGTTTGAGGCAGCAGGACCTGTTTAGTTAGAAAAACACATCTCTTCATTCAACTTTAATTTGTATCATTTGATATCATTCCAAAATGGTTAATCTGAAGGGTGAAGACCATTTCCATCTTGAGAATGAGGGGCCATGTTTCAGAGGGTAACAGTCTGCTACTGCTTGTTATTCTGGTATCTTAAGAGGTAGTGGACATACGCCCCAGAGGGCTGAAAAAAGATTCCATAGGCAACCTTAATTCTGGCTGAGGGAAGCTGGAATGTGGCGGTCCACAAGGTTCTGTGGCAGTTGTGGGATGATGCTTGGGGAGAGGAAGGGCCCTTGCAAGTGGGAAGGAAAGTACAGGCAGTCTCATGCTGGGCATCACAAGTCAATGGCCACTTTAAAAAATGTGGCTGTTATTGTGTCCTCCCCATTTTTCTCCCCTCTGCAAATGATGCCAGTATTGACATCTGTTTCTCTACTTCTCCCACAATGGTCTCCCCACCTCTTTCCTCACTCCCCACTTCTGGCTGAAGTTCCATGAAGTTGTGGTTGAAAATTGGGTGAAGGTGATTGAAACTGAGCACCTGAAAAGTGAGGCGCATAAAGTTAGTGGCCACTTTTGAAAACATGGTTATTAAGTAAGGAGGGGCAGAGCGTATGTGGGGCCTTGAATGTAAGAAAAATAAGCGTGATCTTGATGCAGTGGAGGAGTGGGAGTGAAGGGATTCTGAGGGAAGGGAGTGACGTGGTCACAAAATCCCATGAAGATCTACAAATGAGTGTGACTTGAGGGTGCAGCGAAAGATATTATATTCTAAGCACCATGTCCCACCTTCTCCTTTCAGTAGTGCCAGTCATATATATATGCCTCTGGGGGGGTGGGGGGAGACGGGGAAGATGTTAGATTATGTAGTCCATGACTGTGTCAGTGAAGAATTGTCCCCATATTGCATATTTACTAGTGTTTTGTCCAGTCTACTTTAAATTTGTCATATGCTTTTGTAAACTATAATGTTAAAATACTTTCATTTTAACAGTTGATATTAACTAAAAATGCAATTTCATTATTATACATAAAAGCTCAGCATCTGGTCTAGTTGAAATATAAAATTACTTTACTTTTTGTTCTCACTTTTAGCTTTGACACTTCGGCCAAAAACAGTCAACAGGAAATTTGTTATTGACACTGCCAAATGAAAAACCAGGTGCCCTTTGCTTCCATTAATGTTTATTTCTGCATCTTTCTCTTGTTCTTCACATCTTGAGAAATTCTGAAATAGATATTGGTTCTGACAGCTTTCATATGTTAATTCATTGGGATTGCTAGAGGCAGATACACTTCCTTGTCTGAATCTTGTTAGAGTTTAACATTTGAGTGTGTATTTACCCCAGAAAAATGTATGTATTCTGTGGCGTATTGAGAAGCCAAAGAAGCACAATGGAAACAGGATCTGGCCCACTAAATCCATGTTATGGACTAACTGCCTGTTATGTTTCAATTAAGTCATTGTTTAGGTAGTATGAATGATCTGTTTTTACTCAGCTATAGAGGCAACTCCCTTTGATGTGTGTTGGAGTTGTCTGGGGCATATATTCCAAATAATTCTTTCACTGAAGTCTGTATTGCTACTCTAAATTGACAGCAGTGCAAATGAGAGCACACTGTGACCCCACGTATCACAAACAATGGTTCCTTTTTACTAAGAAATGATGAATCATAGAATATCAGGGTTGGAAGAGACCTCAGGAGGTCATCTAGTCCAACCCCCTGCCCCAGTTTTTGCCCCAGACCCCTAAATGGCCTCCTCAAGGATTGAACTCACAACCCTGGGTTTAGCAGGCCAATGCTCAAACCATAAACAAATGTCTCTTATTTTTATTGATATTTTGCATGGATATACAGCTGTACTCTAAGTGGAGCAGTCTGGCTGGTGACCACTGCGGGGTACTTGATCTACTTTGCTGCACTTTCCCATAAAGTAACACACACACAAACTTTCCAAATGGTTCACAACAGTGCTACTCAAAGTGGTGGTCCGCGGACCGCTGCCAGTCCGCAAGCCATCAGCTGCCAGTCTGCGCGCACATTGGAAAAAAAAATTGCCGGTCCCCCACATCAGATAGCTTGAGAAGCACTGGTTTAGAAAGTAGGTGATGGAAACAATACTGGGAATGCTGCGTCAAGTCCCATAACAGCCTGATTTATCTGTGGTCATGTTCAAATAATGCTTGTAAAAGCAAATGTCTGCAATATCAGCCTCAAATTTAGATACTGTACCAGTATATCTGGCTACTGAATATAGTGTGCATGAAACAGGAGGTTGGTTTAAATATTTTTGATCAGTTGAAAAACAATAGGGCATGATTGTGTAAACCCTTACTCACATGAGTAGTTCCATTTACTTGAGTGGACAGATTATTTATGTAAGTAAGGGTTTCAGGAGCTGGCCCTAGAGGTGTAATTTGATAAAATTTCACAAATGTATATATTGCAATCCCTTCCACAAAAAATAATGGTATGAAACTCAAAGTAATCTTTTGCATTAACAAAGAATGTTGAAAGGCAGGAATGACAGCTAAGGTATCCAATGTAAAGATTGTTTGCATACTAGTAGTTTTGTAACCAATTGTTTTGTATGGGTTTTTATCATCTTGATGAAAGTGCAAAAAACAAACAGACCCAACCAGCGACTGTAGAAAGAAAAAAATCATATGCTCTCTTGAAATCCAGAAAAAAATCACATGGGTTAACTATATATTTTAGTCATAGACAGTCAGAATTAAAACTAGTACCACCGCTAGTTTTAATTAAGTTGATGATAATGGACCAAAGCATAAAGTACAAAGCCTGCCATTGACTCTTTGCCAGGTGAAGGGGTTTATGGACACAGGATTAATGCAGACATATATAAATCCCCCTTCCTCTAATCCTATAAGGATGGAAAAATAGACTCCAAGACATATATAATTCAGATTGCATATGCAAGTGAGAAGATTTTATTATTAAACTACTGTCTTAGTAATAGTAGTAATACTAATGTTATCAAATATGGTGATGATTTTAGAAAACAGTAATTATTTTCTTTTCCTTTAGTGCAGTGTTTGGAGATGACAACCAAAAGGAAAATTATTGGCCGTCTGGTGCCATGCCGATGTTTCCGGGGTGAAGAAGAAATCATCTCTGTGCTAGATTACTCCCATTGCAGCCTACAGCAGGTGCCAAAGGAGGTTTTTAACTTAGAACGGACATTAGAGGAGCTTTACCTAGATGCCAATCAAATTGAAGATCTACCTAAGGTAAATACTGTTCTTTCTGTAATAGAGAAATACAAGTTGTGTTATTAAATGAGCATTTAAAATGAACTTAGATTTTGAAGAGGCTCTGTATAAAAATAACACCTTCTGATAGAACAGGTTTTACTTTTACAATATATTTTTACTGGTTTTTTTTTGTTTTGTTTTTTATGTATTTTTCTTCCATTAGCTCTGCAGAGCCAACATACTAAGAGAGACTGAGCAGGATTCTATTCCTTCTAGTACACAGTACAGAAAATGTAGATTGGGAGCATCTTTTTCTCTTTAGTGATACTAAGGGGACATTCAATGAAATAAAAAAGTGGGAAATTCAAAACTGATAAAAGGAACAGGATGGATTTGATTAAAATCAAATTGATTTAAATCACGATTTAAATCACGATTTAAATCACTAGTCAGGAAGACTCGATTTAATCATGGATTTCTACATGAAAGTACATTCTTCTTGGTTGTAATAACCTTAATACATATTCTTTACAACTCAGAGATAGATGAAGGTTTCATTTTCAATCACCTTCACAATATACATTTTTAAAGTGATTTATTTTGAAAACTTTTCAGATTAGTTTTACAGCTATATCAGAAAGTGAATAATTGTTTGGTTATTTCATTTACCAAAGGTAATTGAAGCAAATAGTTCACCTCCCAGTGACTTCATAAATATCTCCAATTCAACAGGTTAATCATTAATATTTGGAGGATTTTCTTGCCATGCTGTATTAGGAGGAGAACATCACCAGACAGATATTTAAATTGTTTTATTTAACTAAAACAACAATGTTATGTATTCTGGACCTTTTTTCTTCAACAGCAAACATATAATATTTAATGAAACAAGCATATGAATTTTTGAATTTAGTTAAACATTCAAGTTTTTTAAAATCAGGTTTGTGTTTGTTAAAATAGTTTTTAACTAAAATAGTTAAATATATTTTTTAAAAAAACAAAAATTAAATTGACTATGTCAGCCAGGTCAATATGAGAAACTTAAAATATTGGCTTCTGCAGCTAACTCAATTGTCTTCACCTTCATTTTCCTGTTTGTTCATAATCTGGAAAAGAAAAACAAACTTTCCTGCTTTTTCAGGTCCCAAACGATTTCTCAGTTTGGAATGAATTAGTCCAAAGGAAGAAAATATTGTTTCTACACCATCAGAAGATGCTACTGCTGTTAAAAGTGAGAGTATCACTTCAACAGTCTCTGAATCCAAGTGCTTAAGTGACATCAACCTGTTCACTGGTGTGACTTTCTTTAAAACATCATCAGCAAACATATTTCTTGAATGGTTCACCCATAGCTCTGAAGTTTATTATAGTTGGCATTATGGAGGGATGATTGCTGGATCTCCATGTCAGAGCCAACTCCTCTTCTTCAGCAGTTAAGGTTTCACCCTGGTAGCGAGTATTAAGAGTATTTTCAGAAAAATGAGCTGGAGATAGTGCTTGTCCCATTCATTTTTTTAATGTTTGTAATTTAACTCTGTCATTGCATATTTCTCTTTTTAAGATCTCACTCAGTTCCTTCCAAATTTCAACAGCGTCAGCATCTGCATTGTGGTCAAGGCTACAGAAATAGACTTCAGGGTACTCAGCATGCGTTCAACATTTCTCTTAAGTCCAATGTTGAGAACTTTGCCTGTGACAGTGCCATTTATTTTTTCACGATTTTGTTTACACACTGTCATCAGATTAGGCCAGTTCTTGATATAGTGCTCAATACAGTCCACTACTGAGTTCCATCACACGTCTTGTGGGAGAGTTAGCTTGGTTCCTCCCACCTTTTTCAGAGCAGCTGCTGCAAAGTGGTTGTTATGGAAGTATTTTTCAATTTCAACAACATTAGCCTTTATTTCTGGAACACTGACGTCTTTGGCTAGGAGGTGCATCAAATGAGCACTGCAACAGTATGTTATTAGCTTGGAACTCTCTTCACTCTCTTCTAAATAATTTCTTCTCATCTTGGATACATTTGCAGCATTGTCTGTGAGCAAGCTGCCTACTAGACATTTGATTTTTTTTCACAGTTTGTTGTAGCTTTTACTGCTACTTCTTGTAACTATTCTCCTGTGTGTGCATTTACTGATGTATCAATTGTTTCTGTAAGGAAGACATTCCCTTCTTCTGTTGTCACACAAGCACATACAACAGGGTCATTGTGGACATTGCTCCACCCATCAAGAATCAGGTTAATAATTTCACCCTCTAGACCTTTTGCACACTGCTCAATTTCTCTTTCATACACTTTATCCAGAAATTTGCCTGCAACATCTGCTCTGTTGGATGGACTGTATCCTGGTCTTAATGACTGAACCATGTTAATGAAGTTTGGGTTCTCAATCATACGGAAAGGAGAGTTTGTTGCATAAACGAACCGGACAATTTTTTCATCAATTATCTCTTTTTGTAATCTGCTGGTTCTTATCACAAACTTATCTATGATTGTTTCTGGATGATGCAGATTTTTCTTTCTTTTTGCTACAGGTGATAATCTGTAGCTATGTGACATACATGTGACTGAAACACTATCATTGGCAGATAACTCTGAAGCTATAGGTTTCAGAGTAGCAGCCGTGTTAGTCTGTATCCGCAAAAAGAAAAGGAGGACCTGTGGCACCTTAGAGACTAACATCCGATGAAGTGAGCTGTAGCTCACGAAAGCTTATGCTCAAATAAATTTGTTCGTCTCTAAGGTGCCACAAGTCCTCCTTTTTTTTTTCTGAAACTATAGAAAATTATGGTGATCTTGAAGGTGGATAGTCTTCAGAATCCTGTATGTTGAGGATGGATTCTCCTAAACAAAATAAGTCAATGCAGTTATTTAATTATTATTACCATATTGCTCATTTAGTATTACTCATTGCATTCACTGACACTCAGTATGACTTTAAAGGTGAAATTGTGAAAGAAAGATCTGTCTATTTCAGCTATTTATTTTTTATCACAACTGCATCTAAAATGATAGTACCATAGAGTAACAACTGTATTTTTTTCTCAAACATGAGAATTCAAGAATAGTCCAGAGGGAAGTCAGGCAGTCCTTAAGAAAGAAGTATGAAATTGAAAAGTTTACCAAGCTGAAAATCCTGTATGTTCAGACATGTTCCTTTCATCATCTTTAACGCAGCTTCTGCCCTAGAAGGAACACTTCTCTTGATGTTGTTTCATTTGGGCATCCAGGCTTTGCATTTCTTTGTTGCACTATTGGCATTTTGCACACATACCTGTCTTACCCACAGGTAGAGGAACTTCATTAAAATATTCCCAAACTGGGTCTCTTTTATGGCCTGTTGCCATTATAGGTTTTCCCTTCTAGTGAGAGAATGGTATGGTAGATCTCAAATCAATGAAGGCTACACTCAGAAAGATCTCAAGACTTCTGGAATATACTGCTCAAACAGTTTCACTTTTGTTTCTACTGCCTTTCCCTCCCTTCTCACATTTATCTCCAGACTTCTTCTCCTTGTGCAGATCTATTCCGCCCCTCCCCCAATCTTCTATTAATTGATCTTTTTGAAACTTTGCACTTTTAGATAGAGGTAAGAGATCTGTGTACACAAATTTGCAGAGGGACAATAGGGTTGAGGTCTGTTATTTCTAACCTCTACATATTTATTTATTTATTTAAAAACATTTTTGCTGTTAACAAGCATGTAATCTCTGGAGACACAAATCCACAGCTTGAGAACTGCAAAACTAAGCAGCTCTGATGGTATCTTCTAGACTGAGCACTGAGTCCCATTGGGTAGATAGAAAGATTAACCTAAGTAATCTATACAGAAGCCTGTGGAACTCCGTAAGATTGGGTCCCAAATCCATGAACTATTGGAACTCATTTACAAAACTTTTCTTAAACATTACATGAAGATATTGTCTCATACTATAGAATTAGAATTTATAATCCCTATTCCATGATGAGATATCTGTGAGCTACAATGTATCTTAATTAAAACTATATTTTGATAGGTTTTTTCCTCAAAAAGCATTTTATCAAAAAAAAATCCAATTCAAGTGAAAAATCCACTCTGAAAAGGAAATACACCTCCTGGCCGCTGTGGCTGGTGGGGGAACCCAGTAGCCCTCAGGTGCTGCAGGCAGCAGGGGCGCCGGCAGCTCCCATCCATGGAAGGGGGGACCCTGGAGCTCTGACACACAATCCAGGCCCCTGGAGCTCCTAGCCACTGCACAGCTGCCCCACTGCAGGCAGTGTGGGCACCTATTGGTCCCCATTTTGTCACAGATATTTTTAGTAAAAGTCATGGACAGGTCACGGCTTCCATGAATTTTTCTTTATTGCCCGTTACCTGTCTGTGACTTTTACTAAAAATATCTGTGACAAAATCTTAGCCTTAGTCATGTTTAATGACAATAAAAATTTTGGAAGGGATATTAAATGTATGTTTCAGGGATTAAGCAAATCTCTAACTATTAGAGATCAGGTGGAGGCCTAGGTGCATGACAGATTATCCCATATCTGCGTATTACAAGGTTTTTACACCTTCCTCTCAAGCATCTGGTTCTTGTCAGAGGCAGGATACTGGACTAGATGGACCTTGGATCTGATCCAGTCTGGCAATTCTTATGTGCCCCATCAACAGAATTGTTTATTAAGGCCAAAATATTCAGAACTGTTCAATAACGTTGTGCTTCAAGCTTTGGGTGCCCAGTTGAGATGCCTTGTATCTGACTGCCACCTAGTTGGGCCACTGGCTATGTGTCACAATTTGGACCCTATTATTTTATCTGTACTTTTTGATGGGAAGAACTACCTTGAATCAATGCATTTTATAAGATTATTGTGGAACTGCAGTGAATCAGCACCATAGCAAATACAGTGAGATAGTATGGCAGTTATCTTATACATGTTATTATGGATGGCAAAGTGTGAACAAGCAACAGAGAATTAGAAAATCATCTGCTGGATTCTTAAAGCTGGATCAGTCTCCAGAAGCTGAGAGGAAGTATTAACTTTTAGAAAGCTAATT